AACTAATGCCACTGCCCCGCTCTCTTCCCTATAGCCCTGTATCAATCTCAAAGTGCTCTTACTGCTTGGATATCGTCTGTAACTCTGTATCACTGGTTTAGATGTTAGTTGTGGCTCAGAGGGGACTCTCGGGTCTGACTCAGATGCTTCTGGGTTAAATCTCAACTCCAGAACTTGAACACAAAATGCCAGTCCGATACTGTCAGAGGTTCAGTGCTGAGGGAGCCCTGCGCTGTCAGAGGGTCAGTACAAAAACACAGCACTGAAAGAGGAGGCAGCAAGTTTACAAAAAAATTTCAGAAAGCGGGGAGCAGCTTCATTCTGAACTCAATGCCGTAAGTGGCCGAGTGCGAAATGTTGAACCAGTGACTGGGGGTGAACCAGTAGAGGGGTGGAATCTGAGATTTCTGAGACACTGGCACCGATTCTGGGACACGTAGGACCTGTACAAACTGAATGGGGACTGATACCCTCACGGGGAGACCTGCTGGTGTCATTGGCGTGGGCTTAAACTCACTTATTGGAGGAATAGGAAACTGAGGTTTAACCCAATGTGGAGGGGATAGAAAAGGGATAACGGGATAGAAAAGGCTAGCAAACGGAAGAAATAAAACTAAGCGTCAAGCATGTTTCAAATGATGTTAAAAAGACAAAGGACATATGCAACATTCATAACAAAATAGACAATCTAATGGCACAAATAGAGATAAATGGCTATGATACAACTCCCATTACAGAAACATGGCTCAATGATGACCAGGTCAGAAGATTGGTGAGGGGCATTCAACATTTAGCAAGGTCAGACAAGAAGGAAGAGCTGATGATATGGGATGGGAGCAGTTTATTAGTAAGGAAGGATCTCTGATCAGAAGAATAACGTGTGGGATTTGTTTGGGTGGAACTATGTCTGTGCTCGGATGTCCCCAGAGGGAGAGCACACAAAACTCACCGGCACAATTGAGGCTTTTCGAGACCAGTGGGCGCTGAGAGGGCTGGGGTGCAACATCACCCCGCATCACATCTTGTTATTTTGATTTCTTAAATTTCCATTCACTGTTAGTTTGCATTTTTGTTTGGGAGCTGTTTTACTGAACTTTTATTTGTTTGAAAGTGGAGAATAGTAAAGGGCAGCAGACATTGATTGGGTTTATTTACAGGCCCCCCAATAGTAGTGGCCATGTTGGGGTATGGTATAAATCAGGAGGATAAAGAAACTTGTAGCAAGGGCAACAGTTATCCATAGAGTCATAGAGCTGTACAGCACGGAAACAGACTCTTTGGTCCAACTCGTCCATCCCGACCAGATATCCTAAATTAATCCGGTCCCATTTGCCAGCATTTGACCCATATCCCATTTAAACCCTTCGTATTCATGTACACATCCAGATGTTGTAATTGCACCAGCCTCCACCACTTCCTCTGGCAGCTCATTCCACACACGCACCA